AGGAAGTACGTCTTCACAAAATGCACAGTTAACCTGTTGCTGGGGGATGTTGTGAAGGCCAAAACTATAATTGGGTTCAAAAAAAGAACTAGATAAGTTCATGGAGGAAGCTGGCAGGAAGAGGGGATCTGCCCGCCAGCTGCAGAGCGCTCGGCCGCTGAGCCCTGAGCTGCCGCAGGAGGCGGCCGCACTGAGCGTTGGGAGCGATGGCTGAGGAGCCCACCCGCTTCGCTCCTCCAGCCGCCCCCGCCACCCATGGCTCCTCCGGAGTCCGGACGTGCTGCCCCCGTCCCCCGCCTGCAGGAGCCCAGCGGCGGCCCGGCAGGCTCCGCTTTTTAAAAAATTGCTGGGCTGCCCGGGCGAGGGAAACAGGAAGCTGCCGGGGAGAGGGGATCTGCCTGCCAACTGCTGCCCGCCCCACTGCTCTGCTCCCCCCCAGCCCCCAGGAGAAGCCAGCAGCGCCCGTCTGCCACCCCTTCCCCTGTGCCCCGGCCCCCCCACCCACTGAGCCCCTCCGAGGGGGGGGGGGGGCAGCATGGCCGCAGCGTGGCCAGAGGAGCCAAGGGAGGGGGGGCGCGGAGCGGCCGGAGGAGGAGCCAAGGAGGGGCGTGGCCAGAGGAGGAGCCAAGGGGGGGCGCCTTATTTATGGTTGCTCCCGCTGCACTGAGAAGCTGGCTACGCCACTGCCAACAGGTAGCAGTCAGAGCCAGAATCATGTTACTTGGTACACTCAGGTGTGTTGGCAACACTAATTTTCACACGCGCACACTGGGGATAGATAAGAGGAGTTTAAAAATGTGAAGACAAACAAAAAAAATATAATATTGTCTTTAAAATGAAATCTCATGATTTGGGAAGACATCCAATGATTTTGAGGGGGGTCTGACTCATGATTTTTGAACTTTTGTTGATCTGAACTGTGGATAGCTCTCATCCACCATAATTATTACTTTTGCTAACTATACTGTATGATTTTTAAATGGGAACTATTTCTTGAACATGTGGGAGAGAGGACCTTATACTAAAGTATGTTTTTAACCAACAATTATCTGTCTAAGATCTTTTCTTGGCACATCCGCACATCTCTGAGAACAGGGGGCTTAATCTGGCACTCAGCAAAACACACATAAGAGTAAATGGGAAATTTTGCCTGTGTAAGAATTGCAGTATCAGAGACTGCATTGAGTGATGCAACAGTATCAGCAGGCGGGGCAAAACATTGTGTTTTTGGCGGGAGGGTCTATAAATATGATAATTTCCCACTCATTATTCAGTCATGGAAAAGTAAACCATTATTTAAATATACTAAACTCAGAATCCTGAGAACTTTCCTTCATCAGCAATTGTTCCTCAAGTCCCTTTAACAACAAATTGGAGAGGTTCAGAGCGACAAGAATGATTCAAGTTCTGTAAAAACTTGATTACAATGAGAAATTTGAGAAGCTCAATCTATTTAGCTTAACAAAAAGAAGGATAAGAGTTGACTTGATCGTGGGGTGAAATCCTGGACCCATGGAAGTCAACGGGAATTTTGCTATTGACTACCATGAGACCAGAATTTTACACAGGGTCTGTAAGTACCCGCATAAGGAGATATATCTGAAACTAGAGGGTTCTTTAATATAGCTGGTCTGACAGGAAAATTTCCACAGGAAATTCTGATATTTTGATTTCTGTTTTTGTTCTGAATTTCCACAAAATGAGAATTCCAGACAATTTTGATTCCGAACTCTCAGAATGTTTTGTTTTGTCAATGTTCAATTGTTTTGCTACACTGATGTTGACATGTTTCATTTTGATAAGGTACAGATGTTTTGCTAATGTCAAAACATTCTAATATAAAACAGTAAAATATAAAAGTTGAATCAAAACAATAAAGTTGGAACAAACTGTTTATACCTTATTGAAATTAAACATTTTGATATTATTGAAATGAAATGTTTTGACATCAGAGCAAATGGGGGCCCCTTTCTGCCCCTTCCTCAGGGCCCAACCCGTTTCATCCAGGGTCTCCACCCTCACTGCAGCCTTGCAACACCTTTTGCTCCTTTCTGCACCCCCCTCATCCCCCACAACCTCAAGACCAGAGAATCTCCCTCCCCGCACCACTGCCCCGGGGCCGCAGCAGGGAGTGAGAGCTCCTCCAGTCCTGGGGCTGCAGCGGGAGTCCAGGTGCTGGGGCTTCCATTGTCACCCCCTGCGCTTCTGAGGGGAACCAGGGTTGGGGCACTTGGGCTTCTCCCACCTCGCCTGCTGGCGATTCTACTGGAGAGCGGGTCAGGTGCGGGGGCTTGCCCTGCCGCCCTGCAGCTTCTGCTGAGGATGGATTGGTAGCCCCTGGAGCGGGGTCCCCCACCCCGTAGCTGCTGCTAGGCATGGAGGCTGCTGGGGGTGGTGTCCATCCCATGGCAGCTGGGACGGGGTCAGGAGCTGCTGACGGGGGCTTCCCCTGCCCAGCACTGCTGTTGCAGAGCAGGCCTGGGGCTCCGGGCTTCCGCTATTGGTGGTGGATTTTTTCCAGGGGGTCCCCAGTTGGCTGGGGCCCCTGGGCACGGGCCCCGTTGACCCAGTGGCGAATCCAGCACTGTATAGGTCCCAATTCAGCAAAACTTTCAAGCACGTCTGTAAGTGCTTTGTTGAATTGAGATCTCAGAGCTTTGCTGAGTAATTAGCCTACACCAGGGGTTCTCAACCTTTTTCTCTCTGAGCCTGCCCCCCCCCCACCCGCAATGAGCTATAAACATTCCATGGCCCACCTGCACCACCACCACTGTTTTTCAGTAGATTAAAAGCCAGGGCCAGTGTTAGAGGGCAGCAAGCAGAGCAATTGCCCAGGCCCCATGCCACAGGGGGCCCCACAAAGCTAAGTTGCTCAGGCTTCAGCCTCAGCCCTGGGCTGCAGGGCTCAGGATTCGGCTTTCTGCCCTCAGTCCCAGTAAGTCTAATGCTGGCCCTGCTCTCTGGTTTATTTTGGCGGATCCCCTGAAACCTGCTCCTGGCCCCCTAGGGAACCCCGACCCCTGGTTGAGAACCGCTGGCCTACACCTCAATTTGTCACATTTTGGGAGGATAAAAGAATCACAGAAATTATTGATGTTTGTAATTGCATTTCTCAGAAGGACAAGGTGTGTCAGCAGAGCTGTCGTTCATTCTTTGGTTCAACAAATGTTCCCAGAGGAAAAGGGGAGTTCATGTATCCGGGTAGTTTCCTAGCCAGGTTTCAGCTTTTTTGAGTTTATTTAAAACTGATAGAGAGCTCAACAATGCAGAGAGGGAGAGAGAGAAAGAGAGAGAGAGACCTACAATGTGTGCAATATTGCATGATATAACAGGGACTGGAGAAAGCAAAGCTTGCAGCGGGCAAAGCAGAGGTGGGAGATAGAGGAACATAAAAATTGCCATACTGGAAAAATTAGGGGAGAGATGTAAAAGGGACTGGGAAAAGTAGCCAATATAACAGAACAAGATTGAAGTACAATGATTTGAGTGCTAAAATACTGTGGCTATGCAGAGAGGCCTACCTCTGCCCCAGAAGTATATTAGAATATTCAGATTTTTAAATCAAACAATGTCATTCTGCATTAGAAACTCCCACCTGATATTATACCATATCTATTAGGACATGATGAAAACATGATATGGAAAGATAAATCCTCAGAAAACAAATCTTGAAATACTGCTGGGGAAGAGAGATTTAACAACATCAAAGAAGTGAAAGCAGCTTTGAAGTAGGATTAATACACATTACTAAAGATTTGATCATGAACTGACTTCATATTGGTACAAGTTTTGCCTGAGGAAAGAATGCAGGATTTGGCTGTAAAAGACAAATGCACAGCTCATTTAACTATAATGGACACATCCTTGTTATAATTTTTAAATGGTATCTTTCCTTTTTTACCGATACTAATGTGAGCTTTGCAATGAGTGAAATGCACAATCAGACTAAAAATATACAACTTCTTCACTGTCAAAACTAAAAATTTCCAATGATTGTCATTTGACGATGTCTTTTAGATTGATAAGACACTCAGTACTAAAGAGATGGGCATGACAAAAAACACACAGATAGACAGACCCCGAAAGCTTTGTTCCAGTGACCATTTTCCTCCCTAATGCTTCTCACGTGTAGGTTGACAGTCAAGCTCCTAGCCACAAATACTAATATCAATCAATCTGATATGTTAATTCAGCTTATTATTTATTTCAAATTAAATTTTAATATATATTCATAGCTTGAACCAGGTCACCGACGCACTTAAATAAGACATAAGCTTTTAATCCAATCCAGTGTTTCTAAAACCCAGATACAGCAAAAATGGTTTTGGTGTCGATAACAACCTCAGCAGTTTGGGTTACACTTATGTGACCCTAGAGATTCAGGACTAAGTACCTCTTCATTATTCTTGCCAAACAAAGATCTCAGGGTAACTAACTTATTAGCTATGCTTCATTTGCACCCACTTTAATGTGACAAGTAACCATGCAGGTTGAAATATTCTCTTTTTTCCAACACAAAAGGAGTCCAATCAGATACCAACTGGTTCCCCCCCTTATCTATAGAGCTAAACAGAGCAGAACAAGAAGTTAAGAGGCTGAAGGAGAGAAAAGGGAAAGACCTTGCATACTAATTTCTCTATCTCTGTTCAGTTCCAAGATCTAAAGGTCACCCTCTCAGGTTTAAAACAAACTTTGAAAAACAGGTCTAAAGAAATCTCCTCGGGCTAATATGAAAAAAGAAGTTAGTTCAGCTATGATCTTGACTGAATTTCTACAGTCATCTGATTTGTATTAGATAAAAACTTCACACTTTCTACAATGTCTGAATTTAAGAAATCATATGTTCTAAAAGCTCTCTCCTAACATTCTTCATTTCCAGCAGCCTCAATGATTATTAATTGCACAGACTGAAATAGATTCTTTTAGGTATCTCTGCATAGCAGCACCATTTAAAACTATTCACAATTTGAATATCTAGTAATCTTTTAATACTGACTTACCTGGCTTCTCCTGATACGATGATTAACTTCAGAGAGTTTAAATAGCCAGGAGGTTATCACACTGTTTTAATAAAGTCTTAATGAAAGACAATAGTCTATGGGTGGACAGACTTGATAAAATTGCCTTTAAAAAATCTTGTGAAAATGGTATTATAATCCCAAAGGCAACTAGGCTAAATGAAATAGGATCATGTGCAAGCAAAGTGCCTGTGGTATGTCCTGAATTGAATCCCTAAATGGAATGACTTAGCAGCAGTCCAGGTCAGGATGTGAAACCACTTTGGGCAGTAATTACGTACACTGAAAAATAGAACTGAAAGGATTTTTTTCCCCTTTAAAGGGACAGAGCCTTCCAATGTGAAGAGGCCATTTTTGAAGCTGCAGGTTAGTCATTCTGGACAACAGATACTGTAGATAGGTCTGAAGAGAGTGGTGTAGACAGGTTGAAATATAGCTCAACTACAGTCAAGTAGATGAAACAAAATGCCTGCTAATATGGAAAACTTCCTGGCCATTTCTTTAGATGCGTGATGAGGGAAGAGAAGAGTTTAGAGCAGGGGTCGGCAACGTTTGGCACGCGGCTCGCCAGGGTAAGCACCCTAGCAGGCTGGGCCAGTTTATTTACCTGCTGATGCGGCAGGTTCGGCCAATCACGGCCCCCACTCACCGCGGTTCGCCGTCCTGGGGCCAATGGGGGCTGTGGGAAGCGGTGCAGGCCGAGGGATGTGCTGGCCGTGGCTTCCTGCCACCCCCATTGGCCTGGGATGGCAAACCGCAGCCAGTGGGGGCCGCGATCGGCCGAACCTGCCACATCAGCAGGTAAATAAACTGGCCCGGCCCGCTAGGGTGCTTACCCTGGCGAGCCGCGTGCCGAACATTGCCGACCTCTGGTTTAGAGAGTGACTATAGTGGCGACATGAAATAATAACAATGGCACTGAGTCATGTGTCACTGCTCTACCCACTGCATCCAAAGCATCACAGGAGGAAATGAGAAGCTCAAAGAAAGGTTCCATAACCACCTCAGTCCATGAAACTCAACGTGCTCTCCAGGCATTAATGAATTAAGCCCCAAAGCAGCCCTGTGTAGTAGGGAAGTATTATGACCCCCAATATACAGAAGAGGAAAATAATGAGTAGCAAGTTAGACCCTGGCCCTATTGAAGTTAACAAGAGTTTTGTCATCCGCTTCTATGGTGCCAGGATTTCACCTAGCGAGTTTAAGATCCAAAGTTCCAAAAATGGCTTGCGATTTTGAATGCCTCCTTTTTTGGGGTGCCCAACCTAAGTCCTGATTTTCAGAGGTCTCACCCAAAATTTAAGACACCCAGCATTATAGGCTATATTTGGAAATCAGAACTTACAGGGATTGACCCAAAACTCATTGAAGTCAATGCAAAGACTTTGACTTCCCTGGGCTTTAGATCAGGCCCTAAGAGACCTGCACAACGTCATGAAGGTATTTATGCGGGGGGAGGAATAGCTCAGTGGTTTGAGCATTGGCCTGCTAAACCCAGGGTTGTGAGTTCAATCCTTCAGGGGGCCATTTGGGGATTGGTCCTGCTTTAAGCAAGGGGTTGGACTAGATGACCTCTTGAAGTCCCTTCTAACCCTGATACTCTTTGATTATTCACCATTAACTATGGGTGCTGAATAAGCAGGGCTGTGTGTGTGCATATGCACACACCTGTCCATCTGTCGGTTCTCCTGGTGGTTAGATTACTGGCCTGGGATATGGAAGACCCAGGTTTAAATCCCTGCTCTGCCTGGTTCAGAGTGATCTGCTCTGAATCAGGTTAGGTGGAGAGTTGAATCTGGATCTCCCACATCCCAGGGTTATAGAGTTTGTTAGGAGTCTCGCTCTCTCAGACATTACTGCCCCATCAAAGCTGCACATTTGGGTGAAATCTCATTTTGACAACACTGTTCCAACCATCTCTATGTGGCGGTCACTTGCATAATAAAAGACAGCTTCTGTGAATTGTGATTGAATGCTGCAGCCTGAATAACTTGGAAACACTTTTGTTGAAAGGCTCTGCCTTAGCCCTACACAGATTTTATTGCCATTGACCTTCGCTCAATATCTCATCAACCAGATTGGGATGAAAGTGTCCAGTATAATGACAGACAATAACAGCCGTACCTGAGAAAATGTGTTTTCTGGGAGCAATTCCAAAGCGTTTGATGTTTGGACGTGAAGATAATTTGACTTTCAGCAGGATTTACATCATACAGCGTTTCATCTTTGAACTCTGCAATTTTAACTTTGCCCTGCTGTGGAGTGATGCTCGGCTAATCATTGGAACATGGTATTGTTCTGCGACAACTTTGACTCAGGAAGCATTATTAGGAACAATGCTGACTTCTCACTCAATACACTATCCCGGTGAATTATGCGGTGCTTTCTCAGGGGTATAGTCTTTAGGCTTCATCTCTGCCTAACAAACCAATCATTATTTCATTGTTTGCTTACCAAGAGAGTAATGGTGAGGACCACAAATGATAGATTTTGCCCAGATTCTGCTGTATATTCACTGACTTGTGTATTGGATATATGATCATGGAGTCAGTGCCTTTAAAATCATATAACACCCCCTAAGTCGGAATCAATTGTCAGACCAACAATACTTTCACCCAAGAGGATTCACCCAATTCTAATCCAATTATTTTAGGACAGGGCTGTTTTTTGGTTAGGGCAATTCAGTAGGTTCTGATGTGCTACAGCGGGCCTAACCCACAAATCCCTCTGTTCTAAGGAACTTCCGGAACCAAGGTCCAAAAGGGCCCTGCCGGCCACTTCATGACATGCTCTGATAAACCAGGTTCAACGGAGAGCATCTCTGCAGGTTATTTGTTTTCCCCTGTCACAATTGCGTATTTTTTAAATATGCCATCCTTCCGCTAACTGGATTATCATGAGAATTTCATGTGTGAAATCCTGAACTCCTTGTCGACAATAGGAGCCTGGCCATTGAGTTCAGTGGGGTTTGGATTTCATTCCCCCGTTTTTGAAAGGCAACAGGTACTCTTTGCTAAATTGAAGCATTAGGTTTGGAGTATCTAGGGCTCAGCTCTTCAGACCCCCCAGGCCAATACATTGAGTACCCCTGGGAGTTTCTGTAAGGGTTCCTCTGCCTCAAAACATCAGTCATTGAACGCCACTAAGGGCTCGATCCAAAGCCCATTGAAGGCAATGGGAGTCTTGCCACTGATTTCAGTGGGCTTTGGAACAGGCTTTATGATAGGAAATGCCCCTGATTTTCTGTTTGCAATTAATAAATCAGCTGGATAATTTCCAGTTATCCCAGATCTCTCACTTTAGAACATCAAGGAATTTTCTCAAAAGCATTTCTCAAAGTCTGCGTAGGCTAAAATGCCCTGTATAAAAATTTGACTGGATACCAAAAAACAAGTCCTTTCAACAAACAGAATTTGGCAGTGCTTTAAAGCATGGAAGTGCTAAATATATTACCCATATCTCAGCTCACAAGAAGCTTGTAATCTTCACCTAAAGGGAGCCCAAAGTTTTCACTAATTAGCAATGGATTGTACAATGAGAGGAGAACAGTATGTCAGTTATTTCTGCCACCCTCGTTGGCAGAAACTCACCTCAACATGGAAAACAGGCCAGTTTGTCTGCACCAGCTTATGGGACAACATAAGCTTAAGACTCCAACTGCCTTAGCCATGGAAGATGGGAGGCACATTCACTTGAGGGGGATAAGAGACAGAGGCACTCTGATAATATCCCTGAAGAAGACATAGGCTAGCTTCTCATCAAGAGAGCATTGCAACAACAACAACAGAAGGACTAGGAGTCCTTCTGCTAGGTCCAGACATAGGACAACTTCACATGCCCTCCTGATGTCAGTCCTGCATAAATCATGAATAAATCGCAGAGGAGGGAGGCTGTGTAGAGCTGGATGGAGCCAGAGCACACATGCTCATTAATGCTGCTGATGTAGGATGCTATGTATGAGTGTCTCTTTGAGGATGATTACAACTACCCTGGCCCAAATGTCTTTGTTTCGTAACTTGTGTTGAGGTCTCATCTGGCCCAACATTTCTCTGAGTCTATGATTAAACTACTCAGGCCAAATTAACCCCTGGTATAGCTCTGATAACTTCAGTGGCATTAGAGTCGAGATAAATATGGCATGTGCAGCAAAATTCACTTACTTGGCAAGCTTCTGTATCTGGATGATGGCCAGGGAAAAGATTCAGTGCAATACATTTCAGTGCCTGTAAACAATGAATTAATGGCTCACCTACGTAGTTGTGAAATGTCCATCTAAATGTCATCCCTGCTGCTGTCTGCAAGTCTTTGCAGTAGAATCCGGCTGGGTATCTCTCTGTTTGCTTCATGCTGGGCCCGTGCTATTATGGTTGCTAAGCAAGTCAAATTAATGTTAAGACATTCCATGAAAACAGTTTAATGCGTTTGATACTGTACTGTTCTTGCCATGAAAGTAAGTCAGGCAATAGAAAGTATTTGTGCTGCATTAAATCTTTAAAGCAATAAAACTCCTAATCCAAACGAATGCAACTCAAAAATCAGAAGTAACTTGCTGTTTCATTAAAAATATTGTTCATCCTATTGATATTTATTGAAATTTGGCAGTAAGGGAGATTGGAATTAGCCCCTTAAATTGATTTCACACCAAGGTAGCTCCATTGAGCTGTTGGTTTACTCCTGATTTACGCTGGTGATCAGAATAAGGGCAAACATATTTTGCACGATCTGGTTTTCAGCAAACATTTGCATTAGCTTTTCACACGCATTTCAACTTTTGAGCAGAGTAGGTTACCTGGTGGTAATCATGTGGCTGCAGTCATATGGGCTTTCTTCTGGTTCCCTCATTTGCTCAATGTACTCCATTTACTCAAACAGGGTCAGACGCCAGTAGCGTTCAGCTTTTTAGTAGAAGAGGTCAGGACTGGCTCCAGCATTTCTGCCACCCCAAGCAAAAAAAAAAAAAAAAAAGCCGCGATCGGCAGTGGCAGTTCGGCGGCAGGTCCTTCGCTCCTAGAGGGAGTGAGGGACCTGCCACCCCCGAATTGCCGCACATCCCGCCCCTCTCCC